CATGAGTCAGTGTTTGGTTGGAGCACCAATGCACGTGACAGACTGGTGAGACGGCGGAATTCCTCCCTGTTAGACACAATGTATCAATATATGACGAACCAGAACCTGAGATTCAAACATACTGCCACAGAGGTGAGATATGTCCAAGCTTGCGCGGCATTGGGCGTGTCATAACCACCTAAAGCCTAGATGATGGTATGCGGGAAGATATTCTAGTAAGTAGCATCATACCTCCGCCAAGTAACATTTTTTCCCTTGCCATTCGCGGATGATGCGATGCATGCACCAGCCGAGCGAGCCTTAAGGACCAGTTGAGGGTTGCCATGGGATCACCCGCTAGGCCATCTAAGCCACACTGAACTATAATGAAATCAGGTCGAAAGATGTCCTTGACATGTTCGATGATAGGCCAAATGCGGAGGAATGTTTTGTTGGGTGCACGAGCTTTGAGTGGCACTGATAAAGTGAAAGGATCGAAGGCCGGATCATCGACGTCCGGAAGGGAAGCGAGGGGGAAACAAGGGAAAAATCCTGGAGCTGCGTGATGAATAGATAGTGTCTAAAAAGAATTCTTTGGGTCATATATTGTCAATGATTCGAGGTGCACGCACAAGAACTTGAGCAGCAGCTGTGGAACCGGGTTTGTGAAAAGCTTGTGACGCTGCATCTGGAAAATGAGGTCGAGGTCGAGATACATCGAGTCACACGTGGTTTCGGTATTGTTCGTTTGAGGAAAAGAATGGCGAGAACGCAATCAGCTATGTAACAAAAAGCTGAAGCCCATGCTTTTTTGGCGTGATGTCTGCATATGATGACACTGAGATTCCAAGGAAAGTTCGCCATAAACTAAGCGAGCACTTACCTTCCGCCATCCCAACAAATGGCTATGTCCGAGATATCGTTTCTAGTCGCAGCCGCCCCGGTCAAGGTAACTCCAGCGACTAGTGTGATGTAGTCTTTGATTCCATGAAACATGGGGCAGTCCTACATAATGATACATTGACAGGTCGTGAAACGACACAATCTGTTTGGTATACGCACGTCTTCAAGCCCACACTCTGAAACTTCTAGCAGGTTCTGCACATCGCTTGATTGATTCATGACATATTCGAGATAGTAATCACGACTCACAAGTATGGTAACCCAAGAACTCCTTCTGGCCAGCAGGCCGTGGTCGCACAACCAGGAATCGTTGGGACTCTTGACCAGTGCATGTTGCCAGAAGTCCATATGCGTGAACAAGTGAATAGACGAAGAGAGAACGGTTTCTATTGGAAGGTACACGTTGCCACGGTGGTGCAGAATATGCGAGAGAATGGATTAGACATCACCCAATGACACACAATGGATTCGTAGATACGCGTGCTCACTTTGACTAGGTCTTCTGAGAAGATGTAGGCACGGGTCTAGCATGCAACCCATTGGATTAGACATCCGATGAGTCTACTAGTCTGTCACGGCGGCCCGACGTCACGGTAGTCAGTACTAGTCACGTACCTGGCAGTTGGCAAAATCGGAGTGTACACTGTAAATACTGCTTCAATCATCTTCTTTCTTACATAGGTTTCATCAACAACACCAATTGAAAGTCACGCTGGTATACGAGCAAGTACACCAGCCCGTCTATAAGGCAAGCCAGACGATGTATTTTACAAAGATGATGCGGCTTGCCACCCGTCTCGTGGGAGACATGCACGTGCGCGTGAATTGTCACGGCGTGATGGTATTTTCAGTTAGTAGGATCTCGCGCGAGGACTCAGGCTCAATTTTTTTTCTCAACTTCTGTGGGTGAGAGTCCTGCTATGGCTGGAGGTCTCCGTGCGAGCTCTATGACCTCGCAGAAGTACTATAATAACTATATCATCATCTGCCATGGCTTGCTCCTCGTTTGGGCATAAACATTTCCCCTTCCTTTACGTTCAACCTCATCACGAGTCTTCCCGACTCTCAGCTGGAAATTAATATTCCTCAGGATGAGCCACACCAAGATGAGGCCTACAAAGGTGTTCACTCATCTCCCTCTCGCGTTCCAGTCAATTTTTTTGACCCAGTTGGTGTTAGCGAACTTAAACGCACAATGACATCACGTTCCACACGTTCTCAAGTTAATCATCGGGAAAGCTCTCGTCGCGGAAGTTCACCCAAGCCTCCTATGCCTGCCTCAGCAAAGGGCATCGACACTCCAAGTTCATCCTCTGTGATTCCAGCATACGATGATGATGCTTTCGATTTTGAAGTCACGCTCAAAGACCTCGTCAGACGATGAGTTCCGCCATAAAGAAATTAGTTGCGTTTGTTGATATATTACTAGTCGTGGCGAAGAGTCCATTAAGGGCCGCGAGCTTAGCGTTATGTTCAAGGATCTCCGTATCGTCGGTGTCGGTGCACATGCCTCTTTACAGCTCACCATCGGTTCTATGCTTAATCCTGCTGCCATCTTGAGGAACACTTTGGCGATGCGCAACCAGCCTGTCAGGGATATTTTCTCAGGATTCGAGGGTATCGTTGCGCCTGGTGAAATGCTCTGTTAGTCGTTTTAATGAACTAACGTGAAGTTAAATTTTCGCGCTAATCACGTGTTCGCGACAGTAGCTCTCGGACGACCTGGTTCCGGTTGCAGCACGTTCCTATTGCAAACCAGTGTGGGGAATACCATGCTATACAGAGCGAAGTATGCTATGACTTCTTCACCCCCAAAGATATCGCAAGACAGTATCGTGGAGATGTGATCTACTGTCCTGACGATGATGTCCACTTTCCGACCTTGACTGTAGAGCAAACCTTGTCTTTCGCCATCAAAATGCGTACTCCACATGCTCGGTTCATAGACCAAACCCGTGAACAGTTTAATCGTGATGTAGTTGATATCCTCGTGCGCATCTTCGGTCTTCGTCATGCGCGAAACACTGTTGTCGGTGATGCTGCCATTCGTGGTGTTTCAGGAGGCGAAAAGAAACGTGTCTCGATTGCAGAAGCACTGTCTTGCCATGCCCTCATTGGCGCGTGGGATAAGTGAGGAGGTAAAACATGTTCATACGATGACAGTCTTACATCAGTCGGATACATGGGATATCGGGACCCACGTTGAAGACACAGTCGGCTGGAGTCTGCTGGCACTAGCCGTGGTCATCGCCAATGCGACTCTTCGGTGAGTGATGTCACCTATTCCAGACGTTCAATACTTATCTAGGATGTAGGGGGATTCCTGGCAGGATTCGTTGTTCCCCACGAAAGCGGTCTTTGCTATCGCACTAATGGAGAAGCTCGAATATATGGTGACGATCATGTTTTGCCTCTGGTATGGTATTTGAATTGCCACGTGTATGAGACTAATATCTTCACAGTACTTCGCACTCTCTGGCTTAAATACTAACCTTGGATTGCTTGACAACGGTCAGTCCTGCCAATCATAACTCGCATTGATGAACCTTTGCAGCAGGCATCACTTGGGGATTCACTTACGCAATTATATGTGTGGACTCTTCTGGAAAATTCACTGCATGTACGATCACCACACAGATAACCGGAATGAGTTGGCGAGGGTCAAGCATCGTCAGATCATTGAATAGCTTCAATGCTGCCGTACGACTCGAGGCCCGGGAGTACTAGTATACGACAACGTGCACACCCGGAAATTGGCTAGCAATCGGCTTCGAGCTGAGCTTGAGAACAAGGGTCTTGCCAATGCGTCTGCTATTTTATGTGCATTGTCTTCTTTTTCCCCGCTCCTCTCCGACACCAACGTCACGGTGACTCGGATAATTGAATATGTACAGCCCTGTGCACATCATGATTTCATAGACTTGGAGCGGAGATCATTGATCTTGTGGGGCTCGCTCAAAGCCGTTCGTATATTAGGGAAGTTCTTACGTGTTTCATCACATTAGTACTTGCATTAACCTGTTGCAGCAGATTTCGAACCAACTCGAACTTAAAATTGCCCCAAACCAGACGGCCAAGCCAGCCCGTCCCTGAGTTTTCATGACTATCGTACTGTTCAAGTGGTGCTACTGGTCGTCTGTGAGTCTTGATGTTGGATTCTGCAGGTAAGTGCGTGCTCGGTCACGATTTATCACGGTAACATTAACGCTGTAGATCAGAGCCTCAAGATCAGAGCCTCACATATGCCGTCAGTCACTTGTTTGAATCTTCCGGATCAACGCCTTGTTAAAGATAACCTTAGTTGCCTATTTGGCGTATATTATGTTCAATCCAGTATGCCGCATCCCATAGGATGGATGATAGCTTGGACAAATATCAAGCTACTCCAACTCGAAACTTAGAATCTTTAAGCCTTCGAGTGACAATGTTCGCTAATTGATGAACCTTGCGAAGGGGGTTCTTGTTCGGTCCGATGCGCATCGCCATGGAATTTCGAGTTGTTAGCGGCCCAACACATCTTATTACGACTCTTACCTCAATTTTTCAATGCAGCAACCCCATTATCAATAGTGGTAGAAGGTAATTTAAAAGTCGCCCCAAACCCTCTGGGCTGGCTACCGCAGCGTAATTTCAAGGTGAATTGAATCTATTATTAAATCGTGCCGATGCTGAAAGCCAAATCAGGAATCTCCCAAATAGCGCCCGTACCTCATGGTTCGGCCTAGCGGCTGCAATAAAACTTATATGCTGCCACCTGTCGTTGCATCGAAACTGCCACTAGATTCCAATGCACTCAGGCTCGTACGATGAACAGCCCCTTGACACTTTTATTGACACATCTAATGATAATGTCCGCCAGAGCAGCCATTTCACCTATCCCCTCGCTGCTAGCTCTCAGGCTGACTTGGGCTACCAGCAGTCCTTATCCAATGACACTCAGGCTGTTTTGTTTTCCCATCATGACTCGGACTTCTACTACCGTGGCGACGTTGTGAATGCGCAAGCGAGCCATCAGATTTTTCTCGCAGACTCTCAATCTTCGAACTCACTTCCAAACCTCAACGTCGTCAATCCGTCAGTGTCACTCCTCCATGACCCGTTTCATTTCGCCCCTAGTAATTCACAGGCAGGGTATCATCTGATTTACAACTCTTCTGCTCCTTACGCGGACTCCGGGCCACCACATTTGTATCCTCCTCAGTACCTTTCCGCATTTCCTCCTCCCATCGTGTCCGTTGACGGGATATCTACTTTGACACCAGAAGCAGAAGATATTCAGCCTCTTCAAATTGGAGAGCCACCGCTGCACCTCAACGGGCCACTACCTCTTGGAGATTCGTTCACTGTCGGTGAGCCTCCGCCTCCCGTTCCTGGTCCATCTGGATCACGCAGTCACCAACCGCCGCAAAAACCGATTGAGATTAAATTTTGGCCCTATCCGCATGCCCGATCAAAGCTGAGGGGCCTCAGTAGCACTAAGGTGAGCAATCATGATTTACAAATCGTCAATTACTGATGACTTATCAGGGCTCTTCGGGTGTTGCCCCGCCTATGGTCCTCCCACGGACATCTGCCATCGCGCCTTTACAATACAGCGACAAGATCCGAATCCACCGAAGAATTTTCGAAGAGGCACGTGTAGCGCTCATTCGATCCGCACTCGTAAATTGTCCCTTCTTGACCGAACAAGAAAGAAAGGAGGCAGCTCTTCAAGCACTGGTTTCAACAGCAGAGGTACATGATAAAAGTAAGCCGCAGTACCTTAAAATTGACGGTGTCTGATACTTCCACCAGAGCATGGGAACGGATGGGCGAAAGAAAACCTACCTGCGTTCTATAAGACCTTCACAGTGCCGCCGTCCGCTGATATCACATCAGCCTGCAAGAAAGCCGCCCGTGCCGTTGTTCAATTCGGGTACAAACTGCGCCCCTCAATCTGGTCAGAAGAATCTGAACCACAGTATCAGATTGATGGGATAAAAGACCTCATTGACGACCCTTCATTCCCCTTAAAGTACATATTCGGGAATTCATCTGACCTCCAACGCGACAAATTGTTCGCATTCGAACATCCCGTGATAGAAACTGTTCTTCTCAACGCGATTCTGAAACTCGGCTATGTGCCTTTCGTCACAGAACTTGACAGCTTGTATTGCACAGCTACAGCGGCCGTGGAGTGTGTTCTAATGGAGCTAGCGGGCGGGCAGTTTGCAGTGACCATTGATTTTGGGGTAACTAATTTCAAAGCTAAGCATACATTGCTACAGAAATACATTCACGACTTCATTCTACCCAACCCAGAATTATCGACGCGGTGGCAGCAGTACAAGCTGCGCACTCATGATAGATTGATAGATATATACAACGCTAACCATAATACTCACTGATGTTTGATTTTTGTACCTGTATATAATCAAATTGACCATAATCAGCCACAAGATAATTTTATGTAAACAACTAGCTTAACTTCCGATCACAACATCTTCGTCACACGACCTCCCTACTGTCGATGGGGATAACGTTACAGTTTTCACGCACCTCTTCTTGGGTGCAGAGCTTCATGTACCCACCGCAGAAGACATCGGCACACCCGGCCGTCTTGCAGAATGAATGGACGACAGCAAAGTTGCTGTCACGCACCTAACCCCTGCTATGGGTCAGTTACTCTCCGCACAAGCGACACGTCAGATCCCATCCCTACGAAACGCATTCTTCGTCGGTGACGTCTTAACAAAGCGCGAAGTCTTCGAGTCACGTCTTCAACACGGCGGACTGACCCTTGAGCTTGATACTTGATGCTTTCGCTGTTGATGGCATGGAGGGACCGCGGCGCACTGGACGTTTTTTCTTATGGCTTGATGTGGCTCTTCCAAGGCACGTCTTCAGCACGACCGACTACTCTTCATTGTGATTTCAACCTCCATGGTGTAAGGCCGTGTGAACGCGAATCCTAAAAAATGTGAATCGGGCTTTCATTGACCTTGTTTATAGGGCATTCCCGCACTGTTCCGTTAGTTGAGCAAGAAATATCCGAAGATTGGTGAGCAACCGGTGCTTAACTGGTATTTGCTTGGCTAACAACTACCAGTATCATCTGTTGTTGAAGCTGAGGAGGAGGAAATTCTCGACGCAGCTGGAGATCCTATCAAACTTCCCGTTGACATCACACAACCTAACCCCAATGGCAAGGAATTCGACAACTTATACCTGGATATGAACGGTATCGTGAGTGATTGTAGTAAATACGTTTTTCGTGCTGACCATCCGTATGCACAAAGGTTCATCCTTGTACTCATCCCGAGGGCAAAGTACGTATACTTCGTTCTATAAATTTGCTTTACTCCCTGACTCGTCTTCTGCAGCCAGCTCCAGAAACGGAGGAGGAAATGATGCTTGAAATCTTCAAATACACTAACAGAGTGGTTAACATGGTGCGGCCGCGCAAACTTCTTTTCATGGCCATTGGTGCGCTTTACATTTATGTTGTCTCATACCACGAACTTACTGCAGAGTGGAATTAGACGGCGTTGCACCTCGTGCCAAGATGAATGAACAGCGAGGTAGACGGTTCAGGACTGCTCAAGTAGCAAAAGACAAGGCGGAAGCTCATAAACTTGCTGTCGCTGAGTGGGAAGGTACGTCGTTCTCAGAGCCAATCTATGCTGGATTTCTGACCGATTTCATCATTGCAGCTATGGGTAAAATTATTACTGATGACGAGAAAAACAAGGAATCTTGGGACTCTAACGCTATCACACCCGGTACGCCGTTTATGAACCTTTTAACAGCATCGTCACGATACTGGGTTGTGGAGAAGATGAATACCGATCCAGGGTGGAAAGATGTACGTAGTGAACGTTTCCTAGGGATCCTTCTGACTCATTTCTGGTATAGCTGCCAGTCATTATCTCGGATGCAAGTGTGCCTGGAGAAGGAGAGCATAAGATTATGGACTTCATACGCAGACAACGCACAAATCCCGGTCATGAGCCTAATACTCGACACGTAATTTATGGCTTGGTGGGTTGATTTCCCGCTATCGTGTTCTATGTTATTGACCGTATGTTCAGGATGCTGATTTCATCATGCTCGCCCTCGCGACCCATGAACCATATTTCCGAGTGCTTCGGGAAGATGTGTTTGCGCAGGACAAAGGTTCCGGGTGCCGAATGTGTGGACAAGAAGGTCACTATGCCGCTCAATGTACAGCACTGAAATCAGATATTAAAAAGCCTCCTCCACCGGAAAAAAAACCGTTCATTTTCCTCGATATCGCCATTCTGCGCGAGTATCTGGAATCCGAGTTGAATGTGAACAATACGCCCTTCCCTTTTAATTTGGAACAGGCTATTGATTTTCCGTAAGCGACAAGAGAGTGAGTATCTATGATGTGATCCGTCCACGCCTTAGAAACTTACCATATCTCAGCTGAGCAACGCCAAGACCAAGAGGCGAAACGTCATAAGATTGAAAAGTCTGAGTCTGGAGAGAACGCCACAGGCGATATTCAGTTCGCCGTTCCGTCTGCAAAACTTGGTCTGACTGCATCCACTACATCATTATCATCTCTTCCTCAACATGCAGATAATGCTTTTGCTGCCAAGGCCGACTCTATTGGTCTCGGAGCGCCGCGTAATGCTCAGTCTCTTGAAGTCGCTCCAGTTGCAGCGCAAGCGCTGTACATATTTGCCACGCCGTTAGTGACTTTTCATCCAACTTTATTTTGCTAACGTTAACCATTTTCCTAAACAGGTATCAAATTGTTCAAGCGACTTAATCGCTTGTGCTAGTGTGATTTACTAGTTCCCAGTATTCTTATTAGGCAACTAGGACTGGCCTTGGCTAACATATAAAATGTGAGCTGGCTCGGGTTAGTTTTATTCCTCGCTCTCACTTTATCTTCATCCCTCAGGGACTGTTTCAGTCGTTCGCTAACCTATTCGAGTTCCTGCTGTTATGTTGCATGTCGAGGGCCAGCAGGACGAGGACGACACGTCATACGTCGACGGCGAAGGCAGCACCCCGCACGCTGAGAATCAGCAGGACCGAGGCGACACTCAGCCGCAACAATCTCAAGCAGTAGCGGCACATGTGCAAGCTCTGCAGAGACGGAAAATCGCTCAATTGGAGGAGAAGCTGGAGGCCCTGGAGTCGGGCCGCGCAGTCAAGCAAAGGTGTGGCTGCTATCGCATGCAGTATTCAGTTGCATTGCTCACCATCTGTTAGGCAAACAATCTGGTATGTTGCTAAAGGAAGAGCAATCAGGCGTGTTGTCGCCCTGTTCGATAGTATCGAGGACCTCGTCGCCGAAAACGACAGAAGATATGAGATCGAAGACCAGGAGACTACCATCGAGTAAGTATTTCGCTCTTGGATCGGGTATATTACTCATTAACGTGGTTACGTAGACAGGATCGACTTCAAATAGGTTATACTACCCTAACCAAAATGCTGCCGTGGTTCTACAAGAAGGGTTCAGAGATGGAGTACGAGGAGTACATGCACATGTTAAAGATGGTTTGTTTAATGATATTAATGGTTATGTCACGGCTGAGTCTTTGTCTAGCTTCGACAGGGGGCTGATGGCGCTCGAGGAGATGACACTTCGAAACTGAAGACTCTCGTTTTGGAATGGATCAACCGTGAATTTAAGCCGGATTTTCCTGTTGACCAAGACGATAAGCATTCCCGTGGATTCACCCATGATGTGTGTGGCAGGTTGCTCTGTCCGGCAGAGCTTGACTGGAATAACCCAGAGTAAGTAGTGGCTTCGGTATCCCGAGCCTGAGAGACAACGCTCATAGTTCACCAGAGTAAGGGCAGGCATCCGAAATCGCTCAGATGGGTATATCGTCACAGATCTATCCTTTCCCACTTACTTGTATGATAAGTACACTTCCAATCCGGACGATCTTGAGGAGGGCCTTTTCAAGGGCAAGATTCTCATTCAGGTTTGTCGTACCGGAGCAGCCTGACAGCAAACTGACTGGTGTTTCAGGCCTACAAGGCTGTGTTCACGTCTCCTTCCTCAGCAAAAGACGTCGAAGGCGACGGCGACGGCGCGGATGTCATCAGCAACAACCGACGGGCTAAGAAGTCTTTATCTGGAATCAAGGTCAAAAAACACGTAGCACAAATCATTCATTTGGAGAAAGTCACTCCTCGCTCGATCGCATATATCACATGTCAAGTAAGTTGTATTGTTCAGTCTATTTTATGATATATCTTCACTATATACTCGCAGGTGCGATTCGCACTTTCTTCAGTTACCTCCTGGCGGTCCATGGATGGCGACTTCGACTACCAACAATTCTGGCGGACCATCATTGACTTTTTCGAAAGGGCCCCTGGTCGAGAAGCGCAGCGCAGGGTACAGCAACTTCTCGAATGGTGGACTAGGTGCGTAATTTTCCCTCCAAACCAAGCCTTGCTAGAATTCCGTTTTCAGAAAAGTTTTTGGGAGGAATCGCCGAGGCGAACTTAGCGACGCAATGAAGGCCAATATGTCTGTCAACGCTCTCGCAAGGCAGAGAGCACAACGTGATGACGCCGCGTTTGATTCACCCTAGATATTACTGTGTTTCGTATTAGATCTGTTGTTTGCTAATCAATGCGATGGTTTAATGATGTTGATAAAATTAATGTTATGTGCAACTGAATAATTAGAGTGATCTCTGCCACGCGTAACTATCGCATGCATAGAGCGCAGGCTGCGCTGTCCCTATAACTTTTCAGTTTCGTGCAAACGGGCCGTCACGCATGGGAACAATCCCCAAGCCATCATTCAAGTCCTGGTGCGCGGATCTTTCAGGTTGAGTTTGATAAGATGCATCTAGATGAAAGAGCGCAGGCTGCGCGGTCTCTATATTTTTTAGCTTTGTGCCAACAGCCTGTAACAAACACATAACTGCGCCAAACGGTGACTTTGTTGTTCATCGGAGGAATTATGTTACCGGGGTCACGAATACGCACGTGCAAAAATCCTGCAGCACGGTGCAGAGATACCCAATTGCAGTGATACGTATGTAATATATAAGATGTCTATCAAATGGTAAGTGAGATATCAAGGCAAGCCATGACCCACCGTTATCAAGCCCTGAGCTAAGATGGTGAATCATGAAGTTGCAACATTGGTGCAGAGCTACAGATTCTTGGGATGCAGGACAAGTGGACTTAAAGCTGTCAGTCATTGGAAACTCATGGAAGGTCATGTGGAAAGTCGAAGGAGGACATAAATTGATTATCGCCCGCTCTGTGAACACACCTCGGCTGGTGCGCAAAGCAAACACTTCTTCCCACGGATTGCTAACCAATGTAAAGCAGACGGTTATTAGATAATCTAAGAAAAGACTAACCAAAATTTGATGTCTAAAGACGGTGGCTCAAAATTTCAAGGAGAATATGAGTTAATTGTTGCTTGCGTGATGAACATATTGTCACCCTCTGGAAGGCACTTTTTTTCAGTGTTACATGGACAGTTGTCCTATGATTTACGAACACCAAGCATTTCAAACAGATGGCGTCAAAATTCAAAGCGGGATACCTATTTATTGTCGCTCACTTGATGAATGCATTGTTGTTCTTCGGAAGGTGCTCGCTTTCCTGCTTAGCTTTCAAGTTACAGAAATCACTTCCAACATGACGGTTATGGTTCACCCGGCTTGACCGTTATATTTACAGAAAATTCATGCATTGTCGCTGATCGGTTAACACATGGTTGTTTTTGGGACGGTGCTCACTTTCATGTTTAGTTTCGCCATTGTGGTCCGTATTTCCAGCTCGCTCGCTCGATAAATACATTCCCGTCGTCTGGAAAATACCAGCTTTCATTCTTGCATGAAAAATTGACACACACCTGAGGGAAATCAACCATTCCAATAAGGAGTTGATACTAGCTGAAGCAGGACGCAAATTTGGGCCCGCTCGCTCGATGAGCACATTCGCGTCGCCTAGAAGATACAGGCGCTCGTTCTTACATGGAAGATTGGCATACACTAGACGACAGTCAACCATTTCAAGAAGGTGGTGTTAATAGTGGAAGCACGACACAAATTCCTCCAAGTTTGAGTGTGAGTGACACCAGGACCTTTTCCCAATCATAATCCTTCGTAACACAATCAGGAAATGTCCTTTCCTCTACAAGGTCAAATATAACAATGTGATGCTCGATAGCAGAATTATGCTGGTTCTTGTGATTATGTACTATATATCGTCATATATACCTTTCTAAAACCTTCACCGGTTCACTGATGATCATCAAGACATGCACTGACATGCTTTTCCATATCTTCCATCTTGTGGACCCGAGCGATACAGCTTGACAAGTTCTGGTGCTTGGGACTTGACTTTAGGGGGATTTTTATGCAGGTTCTTGAGCCTATTTTTAATGCAGGTCTTTCTGCGACCCATAGCTGGCTTATTGAGATTTGTGAGCCAATCTCCTGGTAGACTTTGCTTCACATTTTTAGTGGATTATGTAAGATTATATATCACGTGACATGGCCAAATTCTCGACATCAAATTTATGTTCTCTCATCAGTCTGTGTCTGAAGACTATTCAAGGTGTTTTGGACACTTTTCATAAAAGTCGAAATAACATCACAGGAAATAAATATTCTTTGATTTTTTTTCCATCATATTGTAGCCAAAGGTATCTGGAATGCATTCTTGCATGCTAATAGGCTCTAATGTGCAGTATGTTTGTGAAATAACCTGTACGTGGAGGTGATACAAAATGTGGCTGGATTTGGATGTCGTCTACCTTACTAGATTTCAATGTAAACTGCCAGGGTCCCCTTGCTTAGGCTGCGTGTGGCTAACTCCGCTCGAATTTGCCGAGCCTGCCGAAGTGTACCCAGTAGTCTAGTAGACCTAAAGTCTGCAGACTTCTACCCTCAGAACCCTGACATTCACCACGATTTGACCAGTTGAAACTTAGCTTGACCCTCTCAAGTCTAGAAATGTGCAAGGCTTTCGTCCAACTTGAGTGTCGTTGAATTGCCGATGCCGACCCGTTGTGTTACATAACAAGTGGCATGTGTGCGTCAGCATCGACGCTAGCGCAGTACCCAGCTGCCGGCCGGTAACGCGGTCTTGACACCCACGGCGTGGAAGCTACATATCGCATGGCATGAGGTTCACGACTCCACGTATTTATAACTTCCCGTGCTTCCCGTCCTACTGTATTAATCTCTTGCTGTATATCATCCGCCAAACCTGCATCGTCTCATCACCGCCAGCCATTCCGAACCATGTCAGACGTCCATCTACTTGTCTTGATCCACGGAATGTGGGGAAATCCCTCTCATCTTGCTCATGTGAATAAAATCATCCGCGAGGTGAAGGGTGAAGTCGAGGATGGTGACGTTAAGCTTGAAGTTCTTGTCGCTGAAACCAATAAGGATGAATCCACATATGACGGAATTGACTGGGGAGGTGAAAGAGTGGCTGAAGAGGTATTTTTGTTTATTATCGTTAACAAACCTGAGGATTCTCAGCGCGCATAAACCCAGATTCGACAGAAAACCGCGGACCTAGAGAAGGAAGGTCGAAAGGTGACTCGCTTCTCCGTCACCGGTTACAGTCTTGGCGGCCTGGTTGCTCGTTATGTCATTGGGTGCGTGTGATAGTCCCCGCTCTTGTGGATGACCTAAAGAGCAAACCTACTAGTGTCCTTCACCAGTCCAAGTTTTTCGAGACGGTGCAACCCGTCAATTTCAACACTTTAGCTACCCCACACATCGGCATACCTAGATTTCCTTCGACATTCTCCTCGATATCCGCATTTCTGGGACCGAAGCTTCTTTCCCGTTCAGGCGAGCAGTTCTTTTGTGTCGACAAATGGTCACCACGAGGAAGGCCACTGGTAGAGGTCCTTGCTGACCCTGATCGCATTTTCTATCAAGCATTGATATTATTTCCTAATATTAGAATTTATGCCAATGCGTAAGTTCAAACATGCCGCATTTGTTTGCTATCCCTGACTATGACCCTAGCATCAATGACTTGACTGTACCATACGTCACTTCTGGCATTAGTGCAGAAGACCCCTTTGGCGATTACGAGAAGAATGGCATCAAAATGTAATTGCCTGGTTCGTGTTGCAAGCGTTGATTCTAACTGTATTTCAGTGATTTCCACGAGGAGTACAAGCATGTCATCAAATCTTACTCTGCGGTTCCCTTATCATCTGCAACCACGAAAGAGCCACAGCGTTGGTATGAGAGTATCCGTAACATGCGCGTGCCATTACCTCCACGATTTCAAGCCGAGTTCCCTTTAAACTTGGTATGCAAATATCCTCTGAACTCACTGCCTCATCTCACAGCAACGATATAGGCCGTCTATGCCCTCCTACCAATCCTCTTCCCGACATTTATCTGCCTTGCTCTCGTCCGCCTATCATTCCAATCACACCAGTCTCGTGGTCGACTAAGGCATCTTGAAGCGCAGTCAACCAGAGAAAGACTTGTTCACATTATCGGAAAACTGGAGAGCGAGCTCGAAAGCGCCGCAGTTGATTTATATGATGACCCCGCTGGCACTCCACTAGCTACGTCGCGGATATCTGGTGCTGACCCTGCTAATAAAGCCAGCTCCACCAAGCCTACGAAGGGGCAAGAAAAGAAATCGCAATCAAAGCCCCTTCCATACCAACCTTTGTTGACACCTGGTCAACTTCAGTGCATAGAGAATCTCAACAATATACCACAGTTAAAGAAAGAGCGAGCTTTCTTTGAAGGTGTACGCAATTCTCACGCAGTGATAGTCTGTCGTGATCCCAAGATGTTTAAGCACCATTTAGAGGGCGAGGGCGTGTTACGACACTGGGCGAATCACTTCGAGCTGTAGCTTTTATTGTGTTTTCGTTGTATTGTTTACTTACAACTAGAACATTTACAGAGACGATATTACATATCGACTTAATAGATTGACGCTTTGCATGCGATCGGTGGGGGCACAGCATGTTTGTCATTCGGAGGCTTTTAATTTTATGATCTCGTGTCTGGCTCTGTCGAACCCCAACAATAAGCTTAAGCGAGTCGTCGCCTAGCGATCATCGATCATGAAAGGGCTTTCAGATCGGTTGCGTGCGATTTCTTCAGTCTTTGTTTTACAATGGCTTATAATCTACGCGACTACCCAATGTCCTTCAGTCGACTATTATCCTGGAATCTCGTTTGCCCAATATGCCCGCCATTCGACGCGGGAGCACATACCTCGACGTCTCCACGACAGCGCACACGCCCGAAGGCCGCTTAAAACTCGATAAAATCAGCGCTAGTCGCAAACTTGCGCAACATCACGGCAAGTGGCATTTTTACTTCGACTCTGATATGCTGTAAACGTCTGCGATATACTAGCTGTCTGCACCGCTTTGTTATTCATTTGTGATGAAAATCGCAATCTTGGTCCCGCAGATACATTGAGTGTATCGTTTGAGGAATTAAAGACTACGAGTTCGTCTGTTTATTTCTGATCCTTTTCGCCCGTCTCACTGTGATCCAGTGAAACGTCGTGCAAGCGCTGCTGACTTGAAAGTAGGTTCTTGCCAGCATGCTCACTTGCGGCGGGTGCTCTCATTCTTCGTAAGACATCACACGATGGTGTGAGACTTATATTCATACGTCATTCTTTCACAGTTGGAGCACGGGCACATCGACTTGACCTTTGCCCATAATGGCCGTCAGCGGAATGTGGTTCAACAAATAGAAATTCAGTCCAGCTTCTACGACATGCAAGTGCTAGCATACTACGGTTAATCGGAGATATGAACTCATGTTGTCCTGTTCTTCTCTGCCACAGTTATCGCGGCTTTCAAGAAGTCCTGGACGGATATGGAACATTATCAGCTCGGGAAAAATACCGCGCATATATGTCGCTTGCCACCAAGGTGTTTGGAAAGGATCGAACACCAACTTTGCTCCAGGTAAGCGAGCAGGACATTCTCTGTGCTTTGTCCTGACGCGCGTATTACGAGAGGCAGCTAGATGTGCTTTCCAATATTCCAGAAAATATCAGGATTTGGTATCCTCTTTACGTCAAGAAAGAGATGCTGCTAATTGTCAGGCAAATACTGTCGCGGACGACAAAATTGACGAAGGTGATGATTCGATGGACGTAATGTTAGTGAGCATTTTATATATTATTGTGCATCGTACTTATTATATACAGGCAGCCCGAAGAATTCCATGACACTCGGGTTGTTCCCTTCACACCGTGAGTGAAATTCATAAAGACTTCGCTAGATACACTGCCAGTGTACTGATATTTGACTGCAGTGCTCGCACGCTGAGCTATAGCCACAGTAATAGAAATATTGGACTCCCCACACCCGAGTCATTGCCTCGGCGACCAGTGGTTGCGTCACCACCTTCACCTACACCCACATCCACAGCATCATTCACTGAGGTCACATCTTCTGGTAATGATGCGCATAGCCATTCTGATAGGCAGAACCTTCAAACGTCTGGCTCGCCCTTCGGCTCCATTTCTCTTGCTATTGGATATTTTTCAGGGTTCATTGGCGGGTTTCGATCGTCATCTCGCATGTTCCTCCCGGAGGTAGGTGGTTTCGGTGTTCCATTCCGTAGTAAAGTTTAAGCGATGAGATGCTCAGATATCTTCGCTACAAACACAAGTCGCAGATCTGCAGAGATCCCTGACTGCTGCAGGAAATGCTCTTGATGCAGCAAACGGGAACACCGAAGCATCACAAGAGCGATGCTTAGGCATCCTCGAAGATCTCCGAAATGCCCACAACACCATTACCGAACTCAAAGGTCGCGCTGAAACGGATGCAGTTGAAAAGGCCAACTTGCTGCAAGAAGTTGGTCACCTCAAGAATGAGGTGTCACGTTTGCAGAGTGGTGTGGAACAAATAACCCGGCTTGCACGCGGGGTAGGTTTTTCGATTGATGTTAATTTACTTGCACGCTTACAATTCACATTCTAGTTGATGCCGCTGTAGTAAGTTAATTTTCAGTTGCTTGGTCTAGGACACGGACGAGAAATTGCATGTAAATTTAACGACTTCATGATATGTACTACTAGCTTAGGACAGTTGATACCCTGCTCAATCCAAAATCACACTAGTTTCATGCTTTGGGTTCTAAACCATAACTTCTCTGTCTATTTCAATGGATATACTGGATTAATTATTAAAAAAAACAGGTAGCATAAGTATTGTTATACAACCTAGAGTGCCTGTGAATACTATATTTCCACGTCAAATAATGATATAATGTCCCAGATAGAAAAATGAATGTGTGCGATTCAGAAGCCCGATCTCTCTGCTGTTCATATGTGCGCCGCCTGTGAATAGTTGTGACAACACAGCTGCCTCCTCTCGGAACTATTCAAGCCAACCTCACGCTGCGGCGGTGAGAAGTGACAAGGATGAAATCCTTGGGAAGGAAAGAAGCACGTTGATGTTTCCGAGTAACACCAGTGACGCGCTTCCATGCACGAACGACCTGGCGTTCTATATATTTACCACACGAGATGCGTGTCTTTCTCCTATTACGATCGAGGCAAGAAAAGATCAGTAAAAACTTTTGGGCGGCGTAGACGGTGCTCACATCGGTTTAGATTCAACGATCCAGGGCTCGGAAGTGAGGTATGCATGTTGGGGAACGGCGAGACTAGCCATGTTGGATACTGCGACGTGTGAAATTGTGAATGGCAGGTTTGTTGGGAGGGGGTAATGAGGAAGGGAATGAAAATCACGACCAGAACAATATTGATTTACGGGCCGGAATGTAGAGTTTTGTTGCACTGATTGTGATGACACTAGATAGGGGGGGCGAAATGCGAGGTGTCGAAGCAGCGAGGGTCGAGGCACTCATGGTTAAGGTAAGGTTTTTATACTACCACCCGCAGATAATTTCCACAGAATGAGTTTGTTGTAATTGTGAAAGTTACGCGGAGACAAAAGATGTACATTGTCCTGACACCCAAACTTACTGCTGGCACCACAAAAAGTTCAAGTTCAAGAACAAAAGCCGACAACAACGGTTGCCTTTTTTGGATGAAGCTCATTGTCTAATACCACCACAGCCCCTCACTCACAGCAGGGACCACGCATGTTATTTCCACGCTCAGGCACGTTTAGCAGGTTCGTTCATGTTCATTGCACGATCGAATGTCAATCATCCCCCTACTCACAAATGAAATGATTTCCAAAGCAACCAATTTGTTCGTCTCACTCGGTGCATTTCAATTTCATGCCGCCGGTCTAGATGTACCGCGGACGTTCACCGAGGGTGTATCGTGTTATGAACGCGGACGACCGGGTTTAACTGGTGTCGGGGCTGGGCCCTATGTCATCATTCGCATCATGTTCGCGATAGGGAACACCAGCTCCATCTCAGCAAGATAACACGTTTTTTTCTTGTTCTAGGCAAGCTCAAAGTGGAGCTGTCTGTTTCTTGAGTTCCAGATTCTCCGTCACGCAATGCACAGAAGGTCGCTGTGATTGATACCTGCTGAAGATCACCAGTGTTTGTTCAACCGTAGCAATAACCTGAATACAGCTTCAGGCTATCCTTGACCATCGCAAAGGACGGCGCATACTTCCTTATCTACATCCACCTGCCAGGGCCGATCGGTTTTGATGAGGTGACGCACTGCCTTGCCTTGACCTCGACCGCTATGAAGGCCGCCTAACCCCTAAAGAAGAATGAGTCGGATCAAGATCGTGTTCAGCCAACTTGTTGCTCCAGTTCCTGGAATTACCTTTATGTGAAATCAGACGTTATTTCTCATGCGCAAAGCAGTTCGGACATTTGATGGTTCGCAGTTCCCCTGCTTCAAGTTTTATGCATATGGGTGCGGTCGTTGGACTCGGTGGTAAGCTGTGATGTAGGTGACGGTTAGTACCAAAGATTGGTCACTTTATGTATCCTCCTATCAATTCATGTAGTGCAATTTGAAAATGACTGCATCCTACTTGTACTAGATTTGTGCGTGATACTGAATTCAACTTGTGAACGACCTTGTTATCTCTGTCGAGCCTAGTGATCATCATGATGGGTCACTGGATCCAAGATGCCGTACCTGGTTCGGATTCACATTACGGCTGACAGAACGCAATATGTAACGTTTTTTTGGCGCTGCCTTGTTGTTTCCGCGCGGCCGCAATTAATTGACGCTTAGGTTGACGGCCGCAAGTGCTGCTTAACGGGAGGCAACGCTGTAGGCAGGTTGCGGTTGGACCACGGCCTTCAAGTTGTCTTACTAGTACTAGTAGGTCCCTGCATCAACTCTCCCCCTTTTTATATCGACTGTTCACAATCGCAGTAGTTCAATACCTCCCTTCAAGCTTACTGCTGTTCCACACTCGTACTCATTCTGCTTGTCATTTGTTGAGGACATCTCTTCGACGACGCTCTCCTGATAGATACCGGGACTGTAATCATCATGCCATCAGATACTCAATCTACAGCTTACAAAAAAGCTGCTGCGTCCGCACCTTCGAAGGATTCATTATCGAGGACGCCACATGCCATTGACCGGCAGGTCCCACCACGCGTTCGTCCCTCTATTTCTTCCAAAGAGAATGTAGGCAGTGCTGCATATATTTCTTCATCATCTACTGCATCTCCGGCACTTGAAAAGCGCGAAGAATCCGCAGGCACATCCACACTCCTTTCGCAAAGTCATTCCAGGCGCAGCAGTCTCCGGTGTCGCTCTCAATCTAAAGATCACGCTTCATTTGTGGAGTCTTCTGAGATCAAACGTGTCAAGAAATCCAAAGAGAGCTTCTTGGCCACGTTCTTTCGCAAGCTCTTCTGCTGCGTCGGAGTCGATTCCCGAGCTCATGACATCGACGTCGATGGGGTCGCAAGCGTTGGGTCGGGTCCTACTCTACTGGCTCACAAGACCGCGGACAATGCTATGAAGCAATTTTCTGAAAAAGCACCAGTCGCATCATCGGTAGTTCCAGTCGCACCCTCGCAGGAGAAAGGTCAACCTGCTGTACCTCCTAAGGACTTGCTAGAGACTGCGGGCGCTACCAGTAGGGCCGTACAACCGCCAGGTTCTTCTGTTCCTGGTCAAGTATTAAAGACCTCTGCAAGTCGCCCGTCCGAACATGGTAACGAGTCGGATGATGTTCCGTTTGATGAGTTAAGCGAGGAAGATGAAATGCTGATCAGGAATGGGGGTGCAGGCATTCCCATGGGCTCTGTGAGTGGATCCGTAGTTCAATAGATATATTTCTGACTTGGAGTTTACAGGACGGAAAGCCATGGCCACTTCTCCCACCCATCGCGCCTAAACATGTTAGCAAGAAGTGTTTAGTGCTTGACCTGGACGAGACCCTCGTCCATAGTAACTTCATGGTATATCTTTCACTCCGATTCTATACCTGCTTTTGACGTACCTCGTTGTCAGCCCATACCAGATCCAGACTTCGTCGTTCGTGTCGAAATCGAGCATCGCTGGCACAATATGTACGTACAGAAGCGACCAGGAGTAGACGAGTTTCTTCGACAGATGGGTGAGCTGTACGAAGTAGTAGTGTACACCGCAAGTCTGGGTTCCGTGCGTTCATTACAGGTGGCCGGGTTATAAAATTCAACTGATGTCTTTCTTTTCCTTGTTTCGTCTCATTTAGTATGCGGATCCGGTGATGGACCATCTCGATATCTACAATGCTGTTTCGCATAGGCTCTTCCGGGAAAGTTGTTTCCGTTATAGAGGAAACTATGTAAAGGTTCGTTTGCTCCCTGCAGATAAGATTCCGTATCTGATCATCCTTATCTTCAGGACCTGTCGCAGCTCGGACGTCCCATGGCAGATACCATCATCATCGACAATTCACCGGCATCATATATCTTCCACCCCAATAATGCCGTGCCTATATCCTCATGGTTTAACGATCCTCACGATACCGAACTGATAGACATCTGCCCCCTTCTTGCAGACCTCAGTGACACGAAAGATGTGCGAAGCGCATTGACCACGATTTTATAACACCTGGTTTATATATTGTAGACCTGGTGTGCTGGTCGTATTTATGGGACGCTGGTGTTCAAACGTTTTATGATTTAATGATGAGATATGACAATGTATGAATAGATGTGTACATGCAGAGTTGAGAATACATTGTCATACGTAGCAAGTACGAGAAATAAACACCCCACTGTTATACTAACAACATTGCGTACCGAGTGTATACAGTACAAACAGTGTTCAAAGCGAGCGTAATTCGCGTAGGAGGTATCATAGTCGTGCGAAAGTGAGGAAAAGTCCTGGCTTCTGAACGACCGGCATCAATTCACTACAGAGTGCTACAGAGCGCTCTGTAGCATTCTGTAGCACAATCCAACCCGCTGATGCGGCTCAATCGTATCCGTCTGTTTCACGTATGTTTCTCCATAGTAGAGGTCTCCATCATCGTAATTGTCGTCGTCGTCTTTGAATAAGTCACAGGCATAACCGATGAGACTGTCATTCATCCCAGTAAAGGTCGGCTACCACTTCTCGTAACAACCGCACGTCGTGGGCACTGATACCCATACATCTAGTGATTGTAAGGCGGTCTAGTCCCCGACCTTCGTTGGCACGATCGACGAGCACGTCGAAGAAGTCAGAGATCCGCCTAAAGGACGAAAAGGAGGGGTCGAACTCCACGCTGTCAAGGAAGAGATGGGAAAGTGCTGGAGCAAAAAATTGTCCTTTTTGTGAACACCCGACTACAGACCGCGCTAAACTGTGCCTCTGTGAGCGTAGGGATATGATAAGATCTTCAAAAAGCTCGCGGGTTCCTTGCAAGTATATGTTTGCAAGATTGTGAGCAGCGCCGTGGCCAAGAAAATCAGTCCAAAAACCATCCCAGCAAGTGAAAAAAACTTCGATGTACAAGGCCTCGAGATCCCTGAAAGGGACGAGGCGCCACAAGTCGCTAAGTATTGCCGGACTTATTTCAGGAGGAAAGTGGAAGTCAAGAACGACCGTCCACTGCGAATCGGGAAAAAAATCTGGAACCCACGAGGGGTTCCAGACTGTGCTATATTGCACAAGCATTCTGTGAGTGACGGCAAATAGTCGCAGGGTACGCGGAACTCGGCGAGACTTGGCCGGAGTGGCTTTGAAGCAACTTTCCAAGGCCCGAGAGATAATGGGGAGGCTCAAATTCCATTCTTGATCCGGATTCATGGACGAAGATGCGCTGCATCTGAGTTGAACTTCCAACATTGTCGAATCAGGTAACTCGACGCGAGCCAACATGTTGGCCACTTCCAAATATTTCGCCACCAAAAGTAATCGTTTCAAGTGAGGAAGTTGAACATTCAGGGCACGAGGTGTGCAAGGGAGTGACATCGTTTGGGGGGGAAGAGTCGGGAGAGCATCTTCTAACTCGAGAGTGTGCAAAGCAGGCATACGACGGAGCGCAGAGATCAACTCGTCCAGAGTCGGAAGGCATTCCGGTGATAATTTTTTGATAACAAGGACAGTGAGTCCTGTAAGGACGGAAGATGTCCATGATATATCAAAGTTCCTGATTTGGAGGCTGCGAAGGTTGGGTGCGGGAAAAGAAATCGGGATTGCTATCTGTGGTGTTTGCGCATATTCTTGTTTCAAAGAAAGCGATCGTAGTTTGGGAGCGGAACAAGATGATACATTGTCGAGGAATTCCATGATACAGCGCCTTATATCACCATTAGAGAACGAGAGAGAGACCTCTTGCAAACGCTCTATGTGCACCAACACACTTTGGACGGACACCACACAATATCGCAGGCCGGTTCTCAAGTTCAACGGAGCCATTTTGGATCTCAGGAGCATCTCCTCCGTAGCCTCTGAGAAATTTAAAAACGGAGTAGCCCATAACTCCGGAGTCCTGAGAGCAACCTCGCGCCAGTGGCGACAAATGTGTCCGACGTTAAGCCATGACAAAAACGCGGGTTGATCAGGTTCATAAAGTAACTGCGTCTGCTGTGCATGATGAACGAAAATGGCACCAAGGATCTCTGGGGGAATGGAGGATATAGGAGAGAACCTATTTTGGCGTGTCCAAAGAGCTCGCATTCTCTCCTCAAGCAAATCTCAGTTTGAGCTCTCGAGTTTAAGGCAGGAGTCTCTGTGGCGGCTACTATCAGTTTGCAAGCAAATAAATTTGCAGTGCGTAGATTCTACAGCTTAGGGAACAACGAACGAGCATCAGTTGTAACGTTTGAAGTTTTGAGTTGGCACGTACTGCTACATAGTAGAATATGATCACAATTGTGATTGGGTAGGAGCTCCAAATTGTTGGAATCTTGAAGCTGTCATAATTATGTAACTTAGCTAGTAGTTCCTGCAAACTATGCATATTTCAATCTTTGCTAATGGCATTCAAGCGTTTCGGCATACACAACGGATATCTCGGGATTCAAGTTGTCGGTAATAAGTTTCGCAATACCGCGAATGCTTGAAACCTCAGCGCTCAGCATCAACCTCACACATCATGTAATTTGCCCTGACTGGTCTCATATTGATGTATCCCTGCCGCTCCTTCCTGGGCCTAACACCAGTATCTGTTCCTCCGCAGCCCTGTCAAGGAAGCCAAGTCTCCATAAACGCCTTGGTGAAGTTCAGAAAATGGCTGTCAGGTTCATACTTTATCCCAGGAAGACTCACGTACCAGGGACTTCGAACCGATATATGACATCTGGATGCCATGCGGAATCTGAGGTTGAAGGGTAAACAGAGTGTGAGGTGAATAGCACGGTGCAAACGAGAGAAGTCAGGACTTGGAATAGGGCAGAGAGCCAGAGTCACGAGCAAGTCGAGGTGAAAGAAGAGCGTAGAGTCGCGGAAGTGGTCTTTTTTGCTTATGGTATTGCTGTTTTCTTTGGACTAGATGAAGGACAAGAACGGGCTATTGTCGAAGACATCAGTAATGCAGGCATTTTGAAACGATCAACGAAAGAAAATGACTAGGAGATTGAGTGATGTCATTATCCTATAACCTCTACTGCCAGCTTCTCATCTAGCACGACCCAACGATTTCATACCCTCGCATATATCATGATTTCTTCAGTGAGTTTTTCAAATCGTATCTTGTGAGCCCTACTAAACCACCGTAGCTTTCAAGTCGCCTTCCCATCCTGCTCAAACTGTCCGTTGCGCAGGGCATCGCCCAGTCCACGCTTCTCGCATGATACCACTCTGTTGCCTCTTTCGTGCTTTCATCCCCAAGGAATGTATTGACACCACAGCAGGCAAGTCTGGGAGGGCTGTACGAGAATACAAAGAAATTGATGAACGCGTACACTGAACAAGAAACTCGGAATGGCGAGCTAATTTGGGGGTGTTTCGTTGCCATTCGGCTTGAGAAGTAGTTTTGTTTTCGTCTTCAGCTCGATGCCATGCATGATCATTTGAACAGCAATGCAATGGAACGGATAACGTGGATCGTTATTCGGTGAGAACTACTGCGGTGTTAAGATTAAATGATTCAATCTGATCGCTTCCTCAAAGGCTGATTGTGGTCGTACATAGTGGAGTTGGTGAGTCGTTTGTACTGCAATCTGTGAAAGATGGATATGATCATTGTACTACAGAACTAAGTGGTTGCACAGCTAGTCGTACATGCAACAATCGGTGAAGACAAGGCAGACCGCATAGCGTTGCGGGAAGGAGGGACACTCAGAGCCCTTATCAAGATTGTGTCACAACGAGTCATGGTATTATTGTTGTTCAGTCAAACTATTTTCTTCACCTTCATCATATTGCGAAAATACTACGTTTTCCAGAACCACAGTTGTGTGTCGAGCCTTTAGTATTTGAGCATAGTTAGTACTCGACAGAATTATTTTAGGAGGAATATCCGTAGTCACTGTCGAAACCGTAATAATTATGAATGGGATCAAAATAATTACTGTCATATGCATATGAGTCATCGTCCAGGTCAAAATCTTCTTCTATGGAACTTTCGTATTCATCCCAGCTCACATCGGCCACCACCTCTCGCAACAACTGCACGTCGCGGGTGAGTATACCCGTGGTTGAAATAAACTCAAGGTGGTCCAACCCCTGACCTTCGTTGACGCGATCAATGAGCACGTCAAGAAGATCAGAGGGCCGAATCCCGTTCCGGATGGAGGAGCTAAACTCTAGGCCGTAAAGGACGAGATGGGAGAGTGCTGGGGCAAAAATGGGTCTTTGTTGTGAACGCCTGTTTACGTGTCGCGATACACTGTGCTTCCGTGAACGGAGGGATTTAAGGAGTTGTTCAAGAGCTTGGCGTGGTCCGTGCATGTGCATGTATGCAAGATTACGAGTAGCGCCGTGGCCAAGAACATCAGTCCAGAAACCATCCCAACAAGGGAAGAAAAAGTGGAAGTACATAGCCTCGATATTCCCAAGAGGAACAACCTTTTGTATGTCACAAAGGATTGTTCTCCTCATTTCATCCGGGAAGTCAAATTCGAGAGTAACAGAGTGCTCCGCCAACGAATCCGGATCCATCCCAAACTTTGACCCCGCCCACGACGAAGGGTTCCGGACCGTACTAGAGTGCAAACGAATGCGACTAGTAGTAGTGCTATATAGTTGGATGGAACGTGGGACTTGTCGAGACTTATCTGGACTGGCTTTGAAGCAACTTTTCAAGGCGCGAGATATGATGGGACGGCTCAAATTCCATTGACGATTTGGATTTCCTGAAAAGCCCTCGCATACAAGTCGAATTTCCGTTGTCGATTCCTGTAATTCAATGCGAGCTAGCACGTTGGCCACCTCCAACATCTTCGCCGCCAAATGTAACTGTTTTAAGTGAGAAAGTCGAACATTCATGAAGCGAGGTGCGCGAGGGAGCGATATAGTTTGAGGGGGAAGAGTCGGGAGAGCATCTTCTAACTCGAGAATGTGCAGAGCAGGCATACGACGGAGCGCAGAGATCAATTCGTCCAGAGTCGGAAGGCATTCCGGTGACAATTTTTTGATACCAAGGACAGTGAGTCCTGTAAGGATAGAAGATGTCCATGATACATCACAGTTCTTGATTTGAAGGCTGCGAAGGTTGGGTGCGGGGAAAGAAATCGGGATTGCTATCCGTGGTGTTTCTTTAATCCCTGCTTCCAAACAAAGCGATTGTAGTTTGGGAGTGGAACAATATGATAATTTGTCGAGGAATTTCGGTATACAGCAATCGATGATATTGCTGAAAAATGGGAGAGAGACCTCTTGCAAACGCTCTATATGCATCAATGTCTTTTGGACGCAGTCCATACGAAATCGCCGACCGGTTTTCAGTTTCAAGGAAGCCATTTTGGACCTCGAGAGCATTTCTTCCGTGGCTTGTAAGGAATTAAGAAACGGAGTAGCCCATAATTCCGGTGTCCCAAGAGCAACTTCACGCCAATGGCGACAAACATGTCCGATTTTGAGCCATGAAAGAACAGCAGGGGCATCAGGAGCATAAACCAACTGGGTCTGCTGAACATGATGGACGAAGATGACGCCAAGGATCTCTGGAGGTATGGAGGATATTGGGGAGAGACCGTTTCGGCGGGTTCGAAGAGATCGCATCATCTCTTTAAGTGCCGCGAGTTCATCGTCAATCTCTGTTTGTGCTTTCGATGGTAGGGTAAGACTGTTTGTGGTTATTTTTGGACAGGAAAGTGTTACATCGCGGGTGAGTGGTTCTGAAGTGAACATTAGTTTTGAAACGTTTGAAGCGAAGTCTTCAAAGCTTGCAACTGCCAGACACGTACTGGACTCCCATCCGGTTACTTCTGGACAAGAAAAACTCATATCGTAGGTGGATGGTTCTGAAGTGGACATCAGTTTTGAAACGAGAAGTTGAAATCTTAATCGGGCACGTACTACTGCTAGAATATTAAAACTGCCTGAACCACCAGGTGGTTGGTCAGTTGGCAGGGGACAGTTGATTTCTGAAGTTTTAGAGTCTAGACTCAGAGATGGGTCTTAGGTATTGGAAAGAGCGACTAGCTACAGACAATCCCAGGGACTAGGTGTGGTGGTTAATTGACCCGGCGGGTAGCTATTAGTATACGGCGGGCGGCGATGTACATAATTAGTTTATAAAGTATTCTTCAGATTTTGAAGGCAGAGATAGATAGCAGGTTGCAAAACTGAGCATTCTGAACAACTACAAGGTTTGTTTAGGCGAGACTGACAACTCAGCAGCACTATCGAGCACACTTCCAGTGCACTCCTAAGTATAAATACATATACGATCATAAGGTAGGCTTCTGGTGGTCAATCTCTATGTGCATGGTAATGAAATAGAAGTATCAATGACGATACAAGAGAAAAAAATGCCAATGTTCCAGATGCTAATGGATCAGTCTGCAGAGATGGTCTCGAGCGTTTTACTCCACTCAGCGACCTTGGGATGTGCTTGTACCTGAAGGGGGATGAGCACGGCTATACAAAGAGAGAACAAGTTTCTCTCGCCTTCTTTGGATCGAAATTCAGAACTTGCAGACCCTCCAATGTAGTTGCTCGAGACAGTGCAACGTATGCTTGTCCTGAACGGGAAAGGTTACTTCAAATGTGAGGATACGAATTGGCTATCACGACGAACCCTTTTCGAACACTCTGCCAAGGTCTACCTTGACTCTTTCGAGTGTCTGCCCTTGCGATTTGTGGATGGACATTGCCCAAGCTAATATCAAGGGCAGCTACCACCAAGGGTTAGGTGCTTATGTGTAATCAGACAATCAAACGCCACACCTGTACCCTGGACACTTGGACCTCTCCACTAGGCAACTCAACTTTCCAGGTTTCAGTCATAATTATAGCTTCCCTGCGCCCTCTGTTCGGCACCGCAAATTCCACGACCGGCATGAGCATGTTCGTTGTCGTGGTTTTCTTCCTTTCCGACTTGGGCTTTCCTGTATTCCCGGTACCATCAACATCATCATAGTCGGTCCCGTACAGCGCTGGGTCAACAAAACGTAAAATTTTGCCCATGCTGCCATTGACGAGCGTCTCATCAATGTTTTTGATCAACATGACCTGGGCACCGACACGAAGAACAAGATTCTTCGGTGCCATGAAGTTTGCAAGCATTTTGTCACGCTGGATTGGATCGGTGATCGTCCCGCCGTCCGAAGCACAGTACTCTTTTTTCTCGGTTTGAAGATGAGACATACGGCCATGGTTGGATCTTTCCACGTCCTCTCGACGAGGGAAGCTGCATTGAATCAATCGATGCAGCCGTCAAATTGAACAGAAGACTGACAGCTCGGTTGCTCCCAGACCATTTTCGTCGTTAATGGGTCGTGACAAAGACTTGAACCTGGCGATTGATTCTTGCGAAAGCCGCCCGAAACGCATTTCGTTGAGCATATCAACAAATTCTGAAGAACGTTTAGTATAGAAACAGTTTGACTGATTGCTTCTTCCTTACGCTGATCTTTTTGCCTAAAGACTTTGTTCAGATTAAATGTACGTTTGATAGTCTGGCTCCAGAGCTGAGCTTCAAAAGCAAATTTGACCTGACTAGTACCCTTCCCGACGGGCGGTAGTTGGAAGAAATCGCCAGTGACCACGACCTACAATCGGTTTTAGTGGTGTTGAGTGAAACAGACTGCGAGGCGAACCTGAATCCCTCCAAAGGGTTCTGGAGATTTCCGTATCAAACTGCCAATTCGTGCAAGTTTGTCAAAGAGTTCTCCATCCAACATTGAAACTAATGATATGATACGTGTGATGCAGAAGTCTGCAGCTGCTAAACAAACGTACCTTCATCGATGATGAGGACCTTTGTCCGCAACCACCTCGATGCAGCTTTCTTGTTCTTACGGACTCTGTTGATGAGCTCCTCCGCTGAGCCTTCTCCGATGCCGATGCCTGCAAATGAATGAATCGTGACGCCACCGATGTTACATGCCGCAATTCCTAGCCATATCATATCAGAAAACATGAAACAGTGAGTATATGCGTCCTCACCCGTTGATGCAGTAATGGCAATAGCATCAGAAGATTTGATGTATCTCTTTTGCAATGTGCGAATGATTTCTCGGAGCAAGACCGATTTCCCAGTACCTTATCAGCATACGTTCAGGCAAAATCACAAAATGAGAGTTTATTTACAACGTACCAGCACTACCGGTGTAAAACACGCTATTCCCGCTTTCCACGAGGCGAAGAATCTGTGTCTGTTCCTGACTAAGGAACACTCCAGCAAGGCTGGAACTAGATTTTGATGACGAGGGAGCGACTGTCGACGACGCAGACTTTACTGTTGGTAAAGAAAATTTGCTCGATGACTTGAAGTTAGATGAGGAGGATAGCGTGTCCTCATTCCAACTGGGCGGAAGCTGGCGTTTCTTTGCCGGTGGCGGATCTGGAGCAGGTGGGAGGGGTCGTTTGGTCCCGTTTTCTATTTGTTTCGTGCTGATTTCTGGCCGCTCTCCAGGTGGTTGCTTCCCCGTAAGCGCATCAAGCGCAAGTTGGATATCTTTCATACGTTGTGATCGAACTTCGGCCCGAGGTGCCTTTGAAGACTGAGATTGGGTGGGCTGGGTGGCCGGCCATGAAATACGGTCCTCAGACTGAGAACTGCTTTGTGACCAGTCGCGTTTGATTGTACGCAATCCAGAAAGCGATGATTGACCTCCACTGGACATGTTGGCCGATAAACTTGTACAGCGTGGAGAATTCAAAACTACGACAAAGGCTAGAAATTGGCGCGAGCGTCGTCAGATTTTTTCCGAACAAGATAGAGGTTGAAAACAAGTCGTGCGCGAAGTCAAGGGGTTGTCGAAGGGCGTTAAACCAGCGACGCGTCTGACATTCACGTGACTCAAAAACCGTCACCCTTATTACGTAAACTTAATCTCACGCTGAACTTGTCAACATGGACGATGCCAAGTGAGCTGAGTTCGGTTGGTGCTCGAAACTAAATGATCATCAGAGAATAGACTATTTGACTGATGCAGTCAAACCTGGATCCATTTGTTACATCCACAAGTATGATAAACTAGCAGCGAAGGAAAGATTCTTTGAAGGGATATGTAAGGCAGAGTATAACCATGTCAGACTTTCTGAAAAATGAAATCTGCATTTCTCAAACTGCCTATCTCCACGTTGATTAGACGTAGAGACGACCGTTCGTCTCGGCGCTTCACCAGAACCGGTACAGGGTAGGAGCATAAAGCACTGTCCGGGCAGAAAGAGGCCATTATGATATGTATAAAGAGAAAAGAAAAAAAGAACAGAAAGCTTTTTTATAATATTCGACATTTCTACCAAATATAACCAAACATTCAGACTCAATCAGATCATGTGATTACGCCACTAAACCAATGATCGGAATCGCTCGTGCTGCTTTCACCAGCTCAAAGCTATAATGACCAAGTTGAACGAGGTTGTTGAGCTTCTGCAAAGCTCCAAGGTCAAGGAACGACAAGAAGGAATAATTTCTCTCAAAGAAGCTTTCTCACGCGATGATGCTGTCCTCAATCTCGAGGAGGGACGCGCCTGGCTGGTCGTGTATCAGGCCCTTTTCACAGCAGTTACTAGTGAAAAGGCAGAATGTGTCAAGAAAGCTGCGTCAGGCAAGAATGCATCGACAGGTGCCGCTGCCCTGCGCAGACTTGGGGATGCCACCGCCACCGTTCGTTGGCTAGTAGAGAGAAGCAACTGCCGACTCACTGCCAAAGTCCTGACACCCCTCCTAACCCATCTCTTACAAATGATGGTTTACCGTGGACAGCTGTACACTCCGCTCGCTCTTTCCTACCTCAAGACCATCAAGATACTTCTCAGCTGGACGCCACACATGGACCACATCGACGCGGCCACTTGGATCAGCATAGCTGAATTGGCTTTTAACATCATTTTAGACGATCCCATAAAGAGAAAGTTTGACGACGTTACTGGAGAGAATAATGATGAGAGCATGCAAGTCGACATTTCCGCCATGTACCAAGATGACTCTGACGAGGGTGACGATCGCGAGCCCTCTGCATCAAAACAAAAGCGCAAGCGCAAGGCAAGGGAACACAGTTCCACGCCTGTCCCAGGTGCTGCACATCCTACAAGGTTGCTCAAGGCCCCTGTACACCATTCGGTTTCTTTGGAGCAAGTCGAATGTGCTTCCCTACTTGTCCTTCTGTTCCGTTCTCCTACAGCTCCCTTCCTTTCGGAGGATATACCAAACTTATCGTTGTCTATCCTGGCCCGCATGACACGATTCTTAGAACGCTACCCCGGTGACGCATCCCTTCACCACGACTACCTTCTTGCCCTGCAGCCAGTATTGTCCCATCTTTGCCTAAATCGGACGAAGGACGTTAAAACTTTTGCTCATTCAACGTGGAACCAACTGGTTGGACTGTGGGGTACCAAAAACAAGCGCATGAAGGAAAGTCTGGTTGGTATTTTGAGAGCGTTATTCCCGTTCTTTGCGCATAATGACCTTCATGCGTATACCGCTTGGGCTGATGGAGTGTACAAACTTTGGACCCTCCTGAGTAGCGAGGCTGAGAGTCGGCGCGGTCTTGATAGTCTGTCTCTCGACTCTTTGAGGCTCGAGATACTTCCCTCGAACACCGAGAACTACGGACGTGGAGTGTTTGTCGCTCACACATTCAGGGCCGGATGGCATTTTGATCATTCTCAAGCCCTTGCGTGGGCTTTAATGGAGTTACAAGCTGACTGTGTGAAGAAGGTGAGTCCCCATCTATTAATTGACTTTATACAAGCTGACCGCTGTAATACAGCTCTTCGATTACTCCGAGTGGCAGCACACTGGTACTTCGGACGGAGAAGAAAGCATAGGAAAGCGTGTCAAGCGTGAAAACCCTATAGCGTCTCTTCTTCATTCTATACAGTCGACAACCGCTTCCGGCGTTCGGACGTATCATCTCCAAGTTCTCCTATTTTTCATTGATCGATACTGGTCGTGCCTGCACAGGGACAATAAACTCCAAGAGAATGTAATGAACACCTTGCTGCGATTTGTTTCTGTCGATGATCCCATCATCCAATCTTGGACTTTCCTATGCTTCGCCGCAATTGCACAGTCAGATGGCCTCCTGAGTTCACATGCAACCCAGTCACCACCAATTGCCGTCCGTAACTCCGCTGTCTGGGATCCTGTGTGGACTCATGCCATGCGCAGAGCCAACGTACCTGTGGTTTGCAGGGCAGCATGTCATACCGCGCACACACTTATCATTCACTCCAAACTCCTATTAACATCTCAGCGAGTTCTGATCGAAATCGAGACCTTGGCGAAGGATCTGGATCTGCAGGGCCCTGCATTTCCCTATGATTCTGTATGTATGTTTCTGGCACAATGTTTGCGTGTTGCAAGCCAAGATGTGAGGCTGTACAGGATGCAGTTGGAGGAGAAGGTTCTTAGCTGGCTTCTTGATAATTGGAGAGTTGGTGCTGGGCAGGCGGTGAAGGATACCAGTGGGAAATCCCGGATGCCACTTCACACCATTGGTGACATTATTGGGTTGCTAGAGAGCATATGTGGAATGTCGAAGCGAAGCGATCTTCTTTGTCGCATGTTACTTCCCGGTTGTGCGATCGTGGAGCTCATGGAGGAAGAGCGGAAGACCAAGGTCATCCGCGGTTTCCTGCTTGATGCTCAACTTCCTTCCTTCCGCAAGGACGCCGTATCTACAAGCTGCGACGAACTTACACACAGCTCTGTTAATGACGAGTTGACCATCGACTCCGAGCTCGTTCAGCCCCGAGGGCGCGAGCGTCGAGTGACTTCGTCTCTGCTCAAAGCGATGGAATCTCTCACTGTCGAGTGGGACACGTTCAGGGAAACCAACGCCCACCCCACTGCCGAAAAGCTCCGTCAATCACTCGATGCTGTTGTGACAGCCTTTGCGTTTGAGACCCTGCTTGTATGGAATGGAATGCGGTGTAATCGACGCGTTCTGCAATCTGCCGGCCGAGTAATGTCACTTCTTGCACCACTCTTAACAGATCCACGCTGGACAGCAGATGAACGCGTGCTAATATTACACGCTCTAGAGCCCCTGGTAATGAATGGAGAGGAGCGTAGCACAAATGAGGAGTGGGAAGCTATGCTTGGCCCGGATCTTGGCTCTGGCATTAGATCGCACACTCTCAAGGCCCTGAAACAAAATCTCTCTGAGAGACATCACTCTCAGACAGTTCGACGGCTATTTCAGCGTGTCTTTTGGACAAATGCAGACGTGGGTTCTCATTGCGCCACATACCAGTGTTCAATATGTTGACAAATCTTTAGATTCAAGATGCATTCTCCACGGTTTCTGAAGCCCTTCGGGAATCTCTTCGCACTATGACAGGCCAACGCCAAGGAGCGCAAGATGTTCATGCTATAGATGCAGACGGATTTGGCGAT